TCGTGTTTTGGGACTGGAATCAATGATCCAGGGACAGCTGTTGGCTTGTTGGCTAAGGGATCCTTCGCAAATCGGAAAGCATCCCAGACCACAAGCTGCTGTGAGGTGAACCACAAGCTGCTGCGTGCGTCGCTGCGGCACGGCCGGGATCGCATCCACAACGGGATCCGCTGTGCGACGTCCCTGCGCTCGGCGGAGAAGCTACTCCGGCTGCTGGAGCCCACGGTAGCGCCCAGGGTCTGTCTACGGCGACTTGGCCTCGACGCGGAGGCCGCCCAGCAAGGTGCGGGCGTCGGACGTTCTTGTGTTTAGCCCCCCACCCTTACTTAACTAGGCCCTATATAAGTAGGCGCCTACTGAGGGCTAAACAAACTGCTAGGTGACCTGCTGCTAGCGATCGGACGCAGGATAGCTCATGCTTCCTTGAAGAAGCGCTCGCACTATTCATTTGATTCGATCGTGAAGAAGTGCAGACATTCAGTAGAGGGACCTTTCTCAGTTGCTTCAAGCGTCTTAGACTTTAGAGCCTCTTTGAACCTCCTTGAGACTCTGGGAGGACTTCAATGTGCTTTGTTGGTGGCTGTTTCTGCTCAGCTAAGCCACTTGCAGCTCTTGAGAGATTGTCTTCACAGTCTGCAAGCTGCACATCACACCGTGGTGGGCCTCCGCTTCTCAGCGGGTTGGCCGACGAGCGCGACGAGCGACGTGAAGGTGCCATGGAGAAACCCGATGGAGAAGGTTTCAGAATTGATCGATGCAGGGACGTGGCCCATTTTTCTGGCCCTTGAAGGCCGCTACGTGCTGAGTGCTGCTGATGCCTTGAGTGGACTAAAGGCGCAAGGAGTTGCTTTCTACGTGGCGTCAAATGCCCAACAAGGCAGGGTGGCGAATGGGATCAAATCAAAACATTTTTCATCATTTTTCATTTGTCTTGATGAGGATCCGTTTGCAGGTGCAGCCGATGTGGCAGAAGTCTTTGGTAGCTTGCCTGGTGCCCGACACTACCTAGTGGAGGATGCAACCTCTTAGCTTTGAGCCTATGCAAGCTTTTTCCAGACCAGATGCGAGAGAAAGAGCTAGCGAGTTGAATTCAACTTGTTTTGTTAATTCATGAGGGCCAGACGAGCCACAAAGAGCAAAAGATGTGCTGTGCGAGTTGAATCTGCGAACTTTTGAGACTAGCGTCCTGTGAATCTTGACTACACAAATTCAGTGGTGGATTTTGAACGTTGTTTGAAGTTTCCATTCAGGCATTCATATCCTTGCCAGTGAATATAGAGTATCTTACGAATCCTGATTCACTGATGATCTGAGCAGAGCGTTGAGATGTGTTGAGCGGCAATTTCCAGCAGATGCCTACGCTCGGGTGTTTGAGATTGACAGCAGAGAACTCCTTGCACCTTCTCCTCCAGGGTTTTTTCTGCCTGAGGTAGTTATGATACGCAGCAGGACCTCCGCGAGTTTGAAGCAGCTTTGAGGCCATGTGCAAGCTGGCACCGCTCGACTACAAGCCATTTCAAGAGTTTTATTGGAGTGGTCAAGATTCTTTGGTTATTCAGCAAATGCATCTGATTGTCCAGTTTTGTGACTTCCAACTTGCAATGGGATGTTTCAGACAGACGAAAACCGATGACAGGTATCTGGCCTCGCAGCACAATCGTAGCGCGTGGTCCCCAAATGGGATGTCGGCGCTGATGCTGGGAGAGCTGCCTGGAAGCAATGGGAACTACTGTAGCTTGGAAACTCTCTCTTTGATATGGATCACATTATAGTGTGCCCCGCTCGAACTCGAACTCGAACTGAAACAGTTATACTTATTGATGAACTCAACCCTGAAAGGATATATGGAAGGAACCGAACTCGAACTCGAACTCGATCTCGAACTCGATCTCGAACTCGAACTCGAAATGGAACAGTTCGAAGTGAACCCGAGGGACGAATAGAAGGAGTCGAACTCCATAATCGCTGTCGTCGATTCGAATTCGAACTCGAGCTCGAACTGGTCCCCCCCCGGGGTGTAAAGATTGTCGTCGATTTGAAATCGAATTCGAAGTAATGCTACGTTGTTCATGGCTCCTTCCTATTCTAAATTTCACCCTCGAACGGCCCGCAACAGGAATGCTACGTTGTAATGGCTCCTTCCTGCTCTAAATTTTACCCTCGGGTGGCCCACAAAAGGCATGCTACGTTGCAATGGCTTCTTCCTTTTCTAAGCATTCCTTTTACTGGCCCATCAAAAGAATGCTACGTTGTAATGGCTCCTTCCTACTCTAAATTTTACCATCGGGTGGCTCACAAAAAGAAATGCTTCGTTGTAATGGTTCCTTCCTGCCCTAAATTTTACCCTCGGGTGGCCCACAACAGGCATGCTACGTTGCAGTGGTTTCTTCCTTTTCTAACTTTTACCTTGGAATTGCCCACGAAAGGAATGCTACGTTGCAATGGCTTCTTCCTACTCTAAACTGTATCTTCGTGTGGCCCACAAAAGGCATGCCACGTTGCAATGGCTTCTTCCTATTCTAAATTTTACCCTCGGGGGGGGGGGGTTGGGGGGGGCGCAGTGCCCCCCCAGCAGCACACCAGATCCCAATAAAACAAGTGTTGGCTGCAAAGATGAGACTGCACAGCGCGGATACTTTCAACAGGTTGATTGCTTTGTTGCTAGCTTGGTTGGTTCCTGTTCTTCTTCTTTGTTGTGGGTCGTGGCGATTGCGGTTGTGGTTGTTGTCGTTGCCGTTGGTTCTCGTTGCTTTTGTTGTGGGTCGATCCAAATCATAGTGTGGCGTTTTTTCCTTCTGCAAACCAGCTTTGGTGTATATACCAAGTTCTACAAAGTTGGAAATCAGCAACTGACGGCACATTCTACAAAGCTCTAGATTTCTTTAGTGTTGCCACTTGTTGCACATTTTCTTACACATGCGCTGATGAGTTCAAACATGTTGCGGTTTTGAGGTTTGGGCTTCCACAGAGCAAGATGACCCTGCCAGACATCACCTACATTTTGGGTAACTTGACTGTGATGAGTATTGAAAGGGCCTCAAAAAAATCTTTTTGGATTTTGTATACAGTTTGTGGTATGTGTGTGTTAAAGTTTCAGTGTGGGGAAATCATTCCAACTACCTCAGCCCGACTTTTCTTAGACTTTGAAGTTTCTGCTTGTGCAGAGCCTTTGTTTGCATTGGCAATTTGCAGCTTTAAATGCAGTGAAGTTCGAGACACTGCTCCTACATAAATGACTGTCATCACAAGCAATGAAAGGCAATGTGATCAATTCGGCTTTGGCAATGGGTGTGTCCTACATCCTTTTTTGGGAGACCTTCTGCAATGCAGCCTGGCCGCTCAATTCTTTTTTTTCAAGCTTCAGAATTCTGTGCCAACAAAACTCTGCTGTGGTTCCTGTCCGGTATTTTCCACTCAGGAATGCCTCCCGGGCCCTGGCTGTGGAGCTGATGGGCGATGTCGAGAGAAGGCCAACGCGATGGTCGTCAAAGTCTTTGACGTGCGATTTTATGAGAGAGCACCTCATTGAGCTGATTTAGCTCAATCCAAAATCTTTTTTGGAATTGATTGCCGGTCCTTGCATTCAGGCAAACCTGGGGAGAATGGGATAGACACAGCAGTATAGTCTAATGGTTTGATTTGTTGAACACATTTGGGATTGGGGAGACCAGACTGATAACTTATAGTATAGAGCCATTTGTTGCCCTGAAAGCCTTTGATCAGGTGCCGGTGACGGAGGTTGATCGCTTGAATGGCTTTTGGTTGGTCTGGCCAGATGGCACCAAAGCGTGGCCTTGGAGATATCTTCACCAAAAGCTGCACGAGGCGCAAAGGGATGTAGGAGGAGGCAAAACAAACAAACAAATTTGGAAGCTGCAGCTGCAAGCACTCATCAATTGAAGAATGGAAGGCAAAGCAGTGTGAAGCCATTAGATGCCAACTGTCAGCCGATGCTTTGCAGTTAGACACAAGTGCAATCCCAACGGAAGCTAGATATTGCAACGGAATGATGGAACCCGTGCGACCACGGTTGATCATCGAAACAGGTCAACCTGTGAATTGCAGAACTAAATATGAGAGGGGAACAAAGGTGCAACTGGGGCCCTTTAACAAGGCCTCTCTTTTTGTAGGGAGGGGCCAGAGGGGCCTCATTAAGGGGGCCCAGTTGCACCTTTGTTCCTCTCAGTTCCGACGAAGGCTCCTGAGTCAGAGCTTTGGGCCCTTCGCCGTGAACGTGAGGACGAGACAGGTGCCCTCTATGGAAGGCGCGATTGATCGCCTTCTTGCTACGTTCGTAGCTAGTAGTAACAAGTGCATCGCTAGTAGTAACAAGTGCCTTACTAGTAGAAACAATAAGCTAATAGCTTCTTGTTCCTAGTAGTACGGCCAGGAGCCCCTAGTAGCGTCCTTGCTACTAGTAGCGATGCCAGGAGCCCCTAGTAGCGTCCTTGCTCCTAGTAGTAAGGCCAGGAGCCCCTAGTAGCTTCTTGTTCCTAGGGATCTAAACTATGTCAACAACAAAATTGATTCTTTCGAATCCATTCGACGTGTTTGTGGGAAAACTGTTTAACACGGAACGCCGCGCACGAAGTACTGAGCCAAATTCACGAAGCCTGGAGCCATGCCAAAAATTTGAGGAAATCCTTGGTCCCGCTGTCCAGAGTCATGCAGTCATGACACAAAGGCAACTTAGGAGAACCCACGCTCTAGTTGCCGTCAAAGACGCGTCCAAATGGCAGGTCCACCCTGGCTTTGCTGGGCTCCGCAGCAGTAGCAGTGGCCTCCATTTTCCGATACTGCCGTGTGCATAGGAGGTCGAAAAAGCATGGCGCATGCTGCATGTTGTTTTTGTGAGACCTTCATTTCTCCAACTCCGTGAGTGAGACCTATGTTGTCATTCCCGAGATTCTATTTCGGCTCAGCCCAAATCTTGGTCTACTCAGCAAGGACCGATTAAGTTCAGAGACCAAGGGCGTCATGTAGCGGAGTATCACTGCAAGATGGCCACTGTGAAGCGTCGCTTCCGGACATGTGTCACCAATTTGTATCCGACCTTTGCTCGCAAAGATTGGATGGGGCAGAGGTGTTTTGGCACTGACAGTGGTACAAAGCCATCGCCCACGGACAATATATTCTCTTGTGCCAAGGGTGCAGTTGAGGTCTTCAGACAAGTATTTTGCCTTACTCAATCGGTTCCGGGGTCCAAGCTTGCAAGTGAATCAACACCCCGCCAGCATATTCTCAAGTAAGATAGAATATTGACCTGAACCCCAAAGCTGGGCAGCTGCCGTGATCAACATCTGGAATAGAGGATCAGTGAGGGTCCCGCAAGCCAACGGCTTGGGATTGTTCGGGCATCAGTACACCCGTCTCTACCCACGAAGGGATCTGCGAAAAGCACCAAGTACAAGAATCGTTTGTGCGAATGATGCGTCGCCAAGGATCCAGTTCGTTGAAGCCAAGGATGTGTGCCTGGTCCAAAGACTCTTGGGTGTTTGCTGATTGGCTTCGGGGTACCAGGGTTAACTCTCGTTTGGCTGCTTGGGCATCATCCGTCAAAAAAGTCTTTTTCATTTGATTGCTTGTGGGCTGTTTGTGCTTCGTTGTGGGTCAGAAGAGCAACGGGTTTTCTTTTGTAGTTGGCGCGAATGATAGGGATTGGTGCAGGGGGTTTCAAGCTTGCCTGGAAGGCACCTTCGCATCAACATTTTTCACTGCTGTTTCTATGATGCAGAGGCCTGGAATATTTGTATATATATATATATGTCTAATGTCATGTCTCGAATCGTCGAAGCTCACACCATTTTTGCATGCATTGGCTCCATGGAGATAGATACTTCATTGACTTCAGACGAAGCTTTGGCTTTACTTTGCTGGCTGCTTTAGGAGACTGCAAAAAGGCCAGTCCAGTTTAGCCGCCAGGCGGATCAGCCCATGTTGCCCCGGGAGGAGACGGAGCTAAAGCGAAATATCTTCGAAGTGCCACGGCGGCTGTGCTGTGGCGGAAGACTGGAAGAGGGAGTGAATCCATCATGAACATGACACGTGATGAGAGAATATGTCAATTTTTGGGCTGACCAGGCAGGATGTCAAACCTATGGCAATCTATGGATTGGACAGTGGTCCGTCTAAGGAAACATCAGCAGGCCATCGAGGATGCTCTAGGTGTTGGGGAGCCCAAGCAGACTTGGGGGTGCTTTGTGCAGCTGCACGCGTATGAGAATTTGACAAACGTTTCTATTTTCTTGTGGGGCAAGCCTGTTTCAAGGCTTGTTTTCTCTCAAGCATCAAACGTAACTGAAGGTACTATTGTTCTTTTGCCACCCATCAAATCCATCAACCATCGAACGTCACAGTTGAGGTGACGACGTTGGAGTTTGGGGGAGACTGTGCTGCCGGTCTGTGCCACTGGGACAGCTCACTGTGCCGGTGATGACTCTGCTGACACGCGCGGTGTAATCCGAATGATCTGCCCAGGTCATGAAAAGCAGCCTCCGGGGCCGTCAGAGCTGTCAATAGAGGACAACTGGAGAAGGGAAGTTGGCACGAGTGTTTTGCATCCATATATCTTCCACTCACAAACACACAAAGACACACAAAGACATGAAGTATTTGGACCTGCTAGCAGCAAGGAAGGATGTTGCCATTTTGATTTCAGGACCTGGTCATAGACGACCTGGATCGATATGAGGTTCAACTGGACAAAGATTGGCACACTGGCTTGGAAGGAAGTGTGGTTCTTTTGAAGTGTGGTTTTTGGTGGTTTGTCAAGGGATGGCAGCGACAGCTTCAAGAAATTTGTACATGTGTTTGACTTTGAGCAAAAAGGTACACAGGCGGTAGTTGCTCCGGAAGTGTTGGTATCTGCACTTCAAAAACCGCGTCTCTTTTGACATCAGGCTTGGCACCAGAAGTTTTGCAAAGTGCTACGCTGTTTTGCAGCTCTTGGATGCTTGAGGCTCCCTTGTGTGGTCCGAGCTGCAAACAATGACGAAATCCTTCTGGAACCTCAGTTGAACTGCGCGTTGGAGCTAAGAATCTACCAAACACATTGACACCTCGCAGCCACATGGGATGTTTGGTGCTTCTTTTCTCGGGTGAAATGTTTTGTTTGAGCATTATGTTGTCCAAGCATCAATAATGAGCATCAGCTTGAGGAAAGCACATGGTGTACTTTGAACATCTCCAAGACTTTTTCCTGCACGTTGTCTTTTCCTTTTTCAATAGTTGCTTCACCGTGGCCTGCATCATGCCAAGGACCTCTACTCTCCTGGCAGCTTCTTTTGTGAGAATTTGGGTCACTGGGGTCCGAAGACTGCTACTCTGAGCCAGCTTCGATTTCGTCAATGGGAGGCTGGTTGATGGTCTTTTTGTAGGTCTGCCAAAACGACTAGTCAAGGCAGTCAAGGCACCTTGAGGCCTTACCTCACAGAGATGTGTGATCAAGCCGAGATGAGTTACGGTGTATACATGGGCATTTGCAGAAGGGTCCTAGGCTTCTTCCACCAATGCTTGATGTCTGCAGCGCAAGGTTTGTCGGGGTGAAGTCCTACGAATTCCTGAAAGACAGGTCATGACTTTGCGTCAGGGCCAGTGTCCTGGCAGGGTGTGGTTGCCAATGTGACTGTTAGGATTGCTTTTATACTTTGTTTTTCTTCTCAAAGCCTTTGGAGGCCTCTTGTACATCTGGTTGTATCAATACTATGTAGTGCTTGTGATTGTCAAATCCTCGCAATTGAACCACCATTAGATACATTATAATGAGATGCCTGCAATTGAGATAAAGTTTAGTTCAGAACCTTCGCTTGACTCGGAGGGTGCTGAGGGTATATTCCCAGGAGCAAGGCATTTGGCCTGACATGGCTAGCAAATATATTGAGTCTTGCGAAATACTGTCAGCTCTACAGCTTTGATTTGCCAAGACTTTAAAGAGTTTTGCTACACTGCCATGTTCAATCGAAAGATCAAGGCACCTCTGGATTCAATCTCGAGGTCCAGGTGGGGCACGTCGACCAACCATGGTATTTCTACCACGCAAAGCATTTGGTGATTGTTTTCACCCCATCCTTCATTTGCACAAGCGCCTAGGGCCGTAGGGCAACAAAGACCTTTGACCCGACACGAAGAGCCAGCCGGAAGGCAACGACGAGCCAGCCGGTCGTCTGGAGATGAGCGAAGGGCACGAACCCGAGTGGTTTCGAGGATTCGAGGTCCATCTTTTCGTCGAGGATTCGGTCAGACATCACGGGCCGATTCGCAGATTCACAAAGGCTTAGGCACACAATTCCTTGAAAACAGCTTACGATTCTTCAATTCACTGAAAGCTCCTATTTAGACCCAAGATTTGTAGGTCATCTTTGCGCTGCTTGGGCGGGACTGTCGAGAATGAGGGCGTCTTGGCTCGGGGTCCCAGAGCATCTCGTCTGATGCTTTTTGGACCGATCCTTTTCGGCCAAGATGTGCATCATTGCAGTGCCTTCACAGCATGGTCTACGGCGCTACAAGCTTGAGATTGAGAGCACCAAGACAGTGCTGGTGGATTGTCACCTGGCAGAACAGGACACGAAGGTGACACAGATGTGACACATAGTGACACTAGGTTCAAGGCATACCTTCCATTCGGAATCTTTGCGGAGCGGAGATGAAACACTCACACCAGACAAGTACCTCATTGCGATCAGCTCTTGGATGGAATGCGTACAAACACGCCTTCCGGAGCTGAGGTGTCAAGGGAATCCCTGAGCTGCCAGCAGAGGAGCCATGTGTCTTTGATGTTGTTCTGCACAGTTCCCTGTGTCGCGAATAGTAGGAGCGCAGCGTGGCGCTTCAATGTTTTACTTGGATTTTTGAGCGTGCCTATCGACAGATGCAGCTTCGCACACTAGGCCCAGTGCCAGCTGAGTGTGACATCTTCTAAGTGTGACCACCTTGTTTTCTTCCGTTCGAGTTTGTTCACTATATGTAGTGGTTTCAGACTAGTCGTTTCACTATTTCATTACTTTTGTTAATTATTACTGTAGTTGTTCTTCCGTGGTGACAAGATTCCGACGTGTTCAGGTGGTCGTGGCTGGTATCTTGCAGATGAGGGCCGAGCCTTGTCACTGGGATCTGACACTCGGCAACGTTTTGGTCTTAAGAGCCACGAGCTATATTCCGTTTGTATCGCCATGCTGATACATTCACAAGACATTTGCGTGACTCTGGCTGTTCATCCCTGAATCCTTTTGGCTCCGATCTCCAGCGTGTTGGCCATCGCAAGTTCGCCATGGCGGAGTACGACTATGACTTGTTTGTCATCGGCGGCGGCTCTGGGGGCCTGGCCGCAGCCAAGCAGGCAGCGGACCTGGGAGCCAAGGTGGCCGTGGCAGACTTCGTGAAGCCTTCACCGGCGGGGACCACTTGGGGGTTGGGAGGTACATGTGTGAATGTTGGATGCATCCCCAAGAAGCTGATGCATATCTCTTCCTTGTACAGAGAAACCCAAGTGGATGCCCATGGCATGGGCTGGGAGACCAAGTCTTCGCACAGCTGGTCCTCCATGGTGACACAGGTGGATAACTACATCAAGTCTTTGAATTGGGGAGCAAAGACGGACTTGAGAAGCAAAGCTGTGAAGTACTTCAACGCGTTCGCGACCTTCAAGGATCCCCACACCATTTCCTTGGACAATGGCAAGGGCCAGATTGATCAGGTCTCGGCCAAGTTCATCCTCATAGCCTGCGGGGGTCGTCCAACATATGGTGACTACCCAGGTGTCAAGGAGTGCTGCATTAGTTCTGATGACATTTTTTGGCAGAAGAAGGCACCTGGAAAGACTTTGGTGGTTGGAGCTTCTTACATTGCCTTAGAGTGCGCTGGCTTCATTGCGGCTTTGGGCTTTGACGTCACTGTCATGGTGCGATCCATCCTTTTGCGAGGCTTTGACCAGGACATTTCGAACATGATTGGCACATACATGGAGAGGCATGGTGTTCATTTCGCCCGAGAGATGGTGCCATCCAAATTCGAAAAGACCGCAGATGGCAAAGTCAAGGTCTTTGTGAAAGATGCGGAGTATGGGATCTTCGACACGGTGCTCATGGCCATTGGACGCACCGGCTGCGCGGGGCAATTGAATCTGGAGGCTGCTGGAGTTCCTTTCCATGCCAAGTCTGGGAAGGTGGACGTCAACGAGAACGACCAGACGAGTGTTCCCCACATTTTTGCCATTGGAGATGTGATCGAAGGAAAGCCCGAGCTGACACCTGTAGCAATCCAGGCTGGTAAGCTGCTGTGCCGGCGGCTGTTTGGAGGGGCTACGAAGAAGATGGACTACACCGATGTTGCCACAACGGTTTTCACACCCATTGAGTATGGATGTGTAGGATACTCTGAGGAGGATGCCATCAAGGCGATTGGGAAGAGCAACATCAAGGTCTACCACTGCACCGCACAGCCTTTGGAGTGGAATCTCAACTCTGAGCGGAAGAATGACATGGGCTACATGAAGTTGATTGTTGACAAGGATGCCAAGGAGAAGGTTGTTGGAATCCACATCCTTGGGCCCAATGCAGGGGAAATCATTCAGGGCCTCAGTGTGGCCATCCGCTGTGGTGTCACGAAGGAGCACTTCGATGATTGTGTTGGAATCCATCCAACCTATGCTGAGTCGTACACGACCATGACTGAGGAAAAGACAGAGGGCTCTGCTTTGCCCACGAAGGGAGGTTGCTGATCTTAAAGAAGCCCTGCCCTAGCTACACCAAATGGTGTGTCGGGCAGGGCTGAGTGAGGCACGTGGAAGAGCCTTGGTGAAGAGATGCAGCAGTTTTCTGTTTGCGTCTTTGAGTGGGCTCTGGAGGCCACATGCCAGAGGTGAAGAGCTGGCTCGTTTGCAAATAAGTCACTCCAAAAGCAACTGGCCACTCGCCTTTTTGAATGAGTGTTGATCGAGCCGAATCTTCACCTATTCAAGTGTGGCTGCCATCAAGGACAGTTTGTAGTCTAGTGCTGTACTCTAGCTAGGGAAATTACATAGTTGGGAGGGGATGGCAGCGACCTGGGGTTTCAGACGTCCTGAGTGAACAGCTACAGCTTTGGACGAGGTCACTTTCAGCGCTGTTGGCGCTCAGACCAGAAAAGCTTTAGAAAAAGTTTTGGCATGTGATACAGATTGCACAAGAAGTCGTTTGCCCCTTCAGTTGGTGGGCTCGGATGATTGTTTGAGGATCTGAGCCTGTCGCCGCGAGTCTTCCTCTATAAAGGACAACCTGACATGTCAGACTTGTTAACACCTCATGATTTCTGCTGTGGCTTTGTCACGCCAAAACTCAAAACGCTTCCTTTAGGTTGACATCTCCTTTTTTTTTCTTTCTCTTGGTGAAATGCTTGATAAGAAACCACGACCTGCTAGTCCTTCAGCAAGTGAAGGACTTGGACCAACCAATCATCTCCTGCAGGATTTGTGGCGACCACCGCTTATGTGTCCGCAGGGCCCTGTTTGAAGGTGCCGCAGATGTCTAGTTACAGAGTTGGGGTGGTCCAGTTTCTCCTTGCCCAAGACAGAATATTTGAATACACATACTATGGTGTACCAGGTAAAGGACTAATAACAAGAAGAAGCAGAAGAAGGAGAAAGAGAAGGAGAAGGATAGGAAAAGGAGAAGCAGAAGAAGCAAATCAAGAACAAGAGAAACACGTATGGCACATGAGCACCAATGACCTGCAAGCTAAGAGGCGGTAGGTGGATCGGTGGATGTCCTTTTAGATATGACAGGTTGATTTGCAACCATTCCACCCACATTCCAAAGGCCAGCTTTTCAATTTCTATTTGAGACCGCCCCTAGTATACTCTTCATACTCTTCAAAGCATTGAAGAAGAGGGAGAGGTCAAGCAGAAGTTTTCGACCAATGACTCGAGGTTTTCTTCTAGGTTGGAGGCCATCGCTATTAGGTTGGAGGCCATGGCCATTAGGTTGGATACGGCCTGAAGGGCGGGCCCAAAAAGGCGCTTTGAGGCTTCTTCCTGGCAGATTCCTCGGGTGAATGCTTGTGACAGCATTGGACTGTGGATGGGTTGCAACGACATTTCTCCGGTGGAAGGTTGAAAGTGAGCTACCAAAGTCCTGTGCAAGACTCTTGATGTCGGAGTAGAGCTTTTGCTGTAGCTTTGCTCTCCCAACTGTTACATCATGAATTTGTTTGTATGATTTCTGACTTGATGATACTTCACTTTTGGAACAACCATGAGAGCTTTCTGTTCGTGTTCAAAGCGCAACTTCTGTTTTAGGTTCCTCCTGGCCACAAGTCCAGCTTGCTGCCTCCCACCAGATCTCAAGACGACTGTGAGTAGGGGGTGATGCAATCAACATAAAATGGTTTGCACAAAGCAGCTGCCAGATGTACTTTTTTGGAGAAGTCTAGGATCCACCAGGAAGAAGGTGCCAAGGATCAACCCAAAATATTTTCTCACTCGCTCGGTCTCAATCCATGAAATGTTCTCGGGTGAGAGATGGTTAGTTGGAACAACGATCCCTTTCGCCAACTGGTCAAGTCCTCCTTGTCCTTATTTGGCCAGTTCAACACAGGCTCCAAGACGAGACGACGTCGACAACGACGACGACGACGACAAAAGACATCTAAGCGACGACGACAGTTTTTATGCGACGACGACGTGTCATTTCTTGTTGCGGTAGCGCAATCCGCCTTGAAAACACTATGACAGGACAGGATGCTGACTCATGAGCAAGGTTCCTTGTGGGCTGGAGGCTTTCAACGGCTTTGTGTGGCGTTTTCGAGCACAGCTCCGTCGGCCCTTGCTTAGCCGCGCAAAGCTTGGCAGCTCTGTAGACGCAAGTCTGGAGCTAGTCCCTAGCCCCAATGTGCTGAGCCTGAAGGCCTGGAGAGGCTGACGCTGTATGCCTCTTGAGCAGCCTGTGCGGTCAGAGAGTCAGCCTGTGTGGAGCTGACGAGGTTGATATTTCTGTGAGGCTGATCCAAAGTCAAACTGCCTGGGCCTCAGATAGTGTCAGCGCTGTCGACTGTCGCCTTCTTCGATCGCTATTAAACTAGTTGCCGTAGCCAAACTCATTACTGCAAAATTTCACGTGTAGCGTCCTGTCCTTCACCAGTTTTGATTGGCGTTCTCCTTTCAAGGCCTTAGCTCGGCTGAACTTTTTCCGGGACCTCCTGTTCCGTCATCACAAAGAGCATGGCCTGCCGGTCCCGACCAAGGCTTGCAGCACAAGCTGGAGGATGCATTGCGTGATGGGGTACAATATCCAGTCGTGAATGATTCCACAATCCAGTTCCACCATCGCATGTTCTATTGCTAAAAATACGTCCGGCAGGCTGAGATGGATGCTTTCTTGCAGAAACGAATGGCAGGACGCACCTGCATGAGCAGGCGTGGCATGTAGCATTGTTTTTTAATGCTGGAACCCCAACCATACTTTTGGCCGTAAACTTCAGAGGGTTGCATGGCCTTTTGTCCAGCGCCAAGATGAACAAATACCCTCAAATTCCAAACGTGGCAGGCACAACCAGATCCACTACCGCATCCAGAAGGTATGCATAGCACCCTGATGGCATTTGGGGCAGGCCGTTCTTTTTCCTTGTTTTTTGTTTCACAGAAGTTGAAGGGCCCCATGTTGTGCGTATCAAACAAAATTTCATTTTACTGGATTACACTTGCTTATATAACGCCTACAAAATTTGTGGAGCGCAAGAAACAAACTACGCAACAAACTCCTGAACCGAGCGAGGACAATAATCAAAACAAACTGAGAGTGGACACGTCCATTGTATAGCCTGTTGATTTTCTTTCATTATATAAACATGTTAACAGTTAACATGAACACACGGCTATCTTTAGGTACTGTAAGACATTCTGCTTTCTTGGCCTGCCGCACTTGTCATCTCTATGAATTGCAAGGACAT